GAATTTGCATTTTACCTGTCACATACTTTGGTCATAGTCACTAACTCTATTTATATCCACTTATTCCTCCTCCCACATCCTTTCTGTCTCTAACATCCCAAATTTCCTCAGTTTATTTAATCTATTTTCTCCTACATTTAGGAGAGAAAAACTGATACTTGTATTCGGGATACTTGATTAATTTGCTTATCATGACTTCATGCATATGCTTGCCAATGATGTGATTTCATGTTTATCTCTAAAGAAAACTGAACTCTCTTTTCCTTGCCCATTCATATGTCTCATACATCTTGGCTGTTTCTGTAAGTTGGCTAGTGTTAGTTACAATTATATATATATATATATATATATATATATATATATATATATATATATATATATATATATACACACATATATATGTGTGTGTATACATATATATATTTATATGTATATAGACATATATTTATATATGTGCATGTATATATACATATATATAATAAAGTATATATGTATATATATATATACATATATAAAATACAACCCTAAATATCAAACTCAGGTTTCTATACAAATGCATGTGTATGCATAATTGTTATTATATATATATATGTGTGTGTGTGTGTGTGTGTGTGTGTCAACAAGTGGTATAGCTGTATCAAACACTGGCATTATTTTTAATTTCTTTTTTGTTGGTTGTGGGGCTTGAACTCCGGGCCTAGGGCACTGTTCCTGAGCTCTTTTGCTAAAGGATGGAACTCTAGCATTTCCCGTTTTCTCCTGGTGAATTGGAGATAAGTGTCTCACAGACTTTCCTGCTCAGGCTTCCTTTGAACCACAATTCTCAGATATCTTCCTCTTGAGTAGCTAGGATTACATGCATTAAGCACCTTGCTTATTTTTATTTTCTTTACAGACCTCCATTGATAAACATTTCTCAACCTCCTCACCTAAATTTGTAATTTCTGTGTTCCTGATGACAACCATTCTGGGCTAATCATGCAACTTCCATTGATGTGTTCCTTACTTTTATTTTTCACGTTTTGAAACATTTTTTATGTTACCATTTGTACATTTTTCAAAAAAGTTTATTTGATTTGCTTATTCCCTGATCAGATTATCTTTTAAACTGGTGTTTACACTTTAGAATTGTTTTATCCTATCACATTAACTCCCTGTCAGACGAACAGCTAACAAAGATTTTCTGCCATTCCTTTGTCTGTCTCTTCATTCTGAGAATTGTTTATTGTGTTGTGCTAAAGCTTTTAAGTTGGATACAATCACTGTTGTAAATTAAATTATATTTTCAGTGCTTATGGTAGAATTCAAATTTATGCAAATGAAATAAAAGATCCCAACACTGAGCCAAATCTAGACTGCCATTTGTGCTATGGCTTGCTGAGCTATTTAAGTCTTAGTAAGAAATTTACTTGTGCCGGCCACTTGAGTCACACCTCAGCTTCTGGCTTGTTGTTGACTAATTGTAGATAAGAATCTTCCTGAAATGGCTAATGGAGCTGTATCAAACATCAGTTCTGAGACCTCAGCCTCCTATGTGTTAGGTTTTTAAAAAGAGGTAGCCGAGTAAAACTGCACCACGCAGGTGGTATTCAGGTAAGGGGTAAGTTTATTCATTGTTCCAGCTGGCACCAGGCCACCTTGGTCCTCCATGCGGTGGAGAAAGGCCTGGGAAAGAGAGAGAGCTGGGAAAAGAGAGCTGGGAAAGAGAGAGAGCTGAGGAAAAGAGCTAAGAGAGAGCTAGAAAAGAGAGAAAAAAGCTAGAAAAGAGAGAGAGAGCTAGAAAAGAGAAGGGAGCTGGGAAAGAGGAGAAGGAAAGAGCTGAGAAAGAGCTAGAAAAGAGCAGAGAGAGAGCATCTGGGCCTGGGCTAGGCCTTATCTAGGGTATGGGTGGAGAAAGGTGTGGCCACATCAAATTCAGATGTGATCTCAGCAGATGCAGATGTGACCTCTTCCAGGTGTTCCAGTTGCCTAGGTAACCCAGGTACTGGGTGGAGACTTTGCTACGAGGAGGGTGGAGTCTGCTAGCCATCCAGGAGCAGACCTTACATTCCAGCCTTTTAATAATCATGAAATAGGGCGCAGATTCTCTCTGGCTACTTCCTGCTGACAAGGGGCATTGACAATAGGGGTAGGGGTAAAAGGTTGGAATTTGGTCTCCTCCCAGAGAAGGCAGTGAGCAGCAGCTGTCCCTTGGTGGCGTGAGTTCTTAGATGAAGTCTGGAGAAGTCTCATGAGCATTGAGGGGCTGGGAAAAAAATACTAGAGAGCAAATAAATGGCAAGAGAAAGGACTTGGGGCTGAAATTGTTGGTAGAAATGTCCCTAGCTACTTCTGACATCTGGAGACTAGATAGAGAAGTCAGGTGACAAAGGCACTGTTGTTAATAGGTAGACAGGTATAGACATTGGATGGGCAGGCTTCTTGCTTCTACTGACTTCCTGGCTCTGGTTAATTTTGAAAGGGCAGGCACAAAGTAGCTGATGTGACATCATCTCCTCTTACTCCTGTCCATGTTCACTTGTTCCCCAGACTGGCTGAGTCTAGGTGCTCGTTGCTGGAATGGCTTGTCCCAGTTGGTATTCAAGGAGGATTGAACTCAAGGCCTGGGCACTATTCCTGAGCACTTCTTTTCAAGGCCAGCACTGAACCACTTCGAGTTATAGTACCACTTGCAGAGTTTGGCTGGTTAGAGATGAGTCTTGAGCCATGCTTCCAGCCTGGCTCTTTGCAGGTTAGTTGGGAGATGGAGTCTTAGGGATTTTTCAGCCTGGGCTGGCTTTGAACTACAATCTTTGCTACAAAAGCCCTTTATTATTTCCAATTAAAGCAACAAGGAGATCAAGTAGAATAAGTAGAGCTTACCTGGTCCTTATCAAGAATTGCCAACAAATATTCTGAAAGGACAAAACTCATTAGATGTGATGAGAATTTTAGCACAGATATGCCCGGTATTTTAGAACCATGTAGTCAGTAGAATACACAACACAAAACAAAAAAGGCAAAACTCAAAACCTAAAATTTTGATATCAATGTTTAGACATCTTTGCTAACAAAGCACATCAGATGGTTGGGCCTCAGTTACCAGGGCCTGTGTTAGCAAGGCACTTTAGAATAGCTGGATGTAGTAGTAAGCTTGGTGGAAGGTTAAGGGTCAGGTGGGGCCAAACCCTTAACCCACCATGTGGCCAAGATGGCAAATTCAAGATGGCGAGTTTCTGAAAAAAATGCAAAGAAAGCCTGAACAAATAGATCAAGCCTATATTGGCTAGCCTTTGAGAGGGAACCTAGAGGGGCATCCCGGGACCCAGCCTGTATTGCACTCTTCAGGGCACAAGCCAAAATGTAGAAAAGAGACAGGGAGAGATAGGGAAAGTTGGACATGACTGGCAGAGAGAAAGCAAAGAGAGCCTGAAAGTATACAGACTTCTGACCATTTACCATTGCAGTGGCAAAAACTATCTACATTTAAGAATGGCATAAAAATGAGGCACTCTGGCTTTCCAGGGAGTGCAGGAGGCATTTCAAAGAGTTTCACGGCTCAGGCGTGATTTGCAGCACCCTATTAATTGAATAGGACAGTCAGTCTGGTGAGTGAAGGAGAGCTGACCAGGCAGAAGTGGCGTCCCGACTTCCCCCAGAGCCCTCTAGAGAGAAATGGCCAAGCCCCTAAAACCAAGCGTCCTCGGATTCAGAGGTGACTGGCCTTTCAGCTAAAGGCCATAGGAGCTCTCTGGCATGGCGCCACATCTGGACAGAGACTGAGTGACAGAGAGCCATAGAGAGTAGTTTCACTCACCAGAGTAGAGAAGTGGTGTGGACGTGGATGTGAAGGCCAGCAATGGTATGGATGGGCTGTGTCTGCAGCAGACAGATGGGTTCGCAAAAGGCCGTCAGAACTGTGGGTATTCCTCAGAGCAAAAAGGGAAGAACAAACAGAAAAAGAAAAAAGAGGAAAAAAAAACAGAGAGGAATCACCTATCCTGACTTTAAGCCCTTTATCCGAGTCACCGCACCATTTATGTTAGGTTTTTAAAAAGAGGTCTGTGGTATTCAGGTAAGGGGTAGGTTTATTCATCGTAGTGATTTACTAGTATACAAATACTTGCTATTTTTTTTAAACTGTGGATAGTTTACTGTGTTTCTACTTCTCCTTGATACTAAAAGAACATGTGGCTCCCTCTTGTTTTTGACCAATCTCCGCTATTGGTATTGCTATTTTTGAAAGACCCCAGCCCGTGCTTGCCCACTAGGTACCCCAAGAAAGTTGCTGCCCCTTACCCTGCATACCTAAGGGGGTGGTGGGGCAGGATAAGTGCAGGCCGCTAACCAGGAAACGAAACCTCGAGCCTCTGAGTCACCGCCTGCAGACCCTAGCCTGACCCTAGTACATGCCTTAAAGCCAGACATTCCTAGAAAATAGCCGACCCACCTGTCCCTTCCTGTAAAACTTAACCCTAATGGCAGGGTAGGGCAGGATGTAATAAATCACTTGTCAAAATTAGGGAACAAACAGTTTCGGTGCATAACGACCCGCACAGACTTGTCCGGGCAAGTACCGACACGTCAGCTTTCCCCCCCCAACCCCACCTACCCCATCTGGCTAGCTTAACCTGACCAATCCTCACCCTGAGCGTAATTTAAAATTAACCAATCATCCCCCTGTAACCACGCATCTCGCTTCTGTAACCTCGCTTCTGCTGTCCATAAAAAGAGGGTGCTTTCAAGCACTCGGCGCGCAAGTCTCCCGATAGACTTTGTCGCCCCTGGTACCCGTGTAACCGGTTCTCAGACACTTGACTCGAACCTTGTGGATCTCGTGGTTAAGTGCACCTGGGAGCCGAGGCATGCCCGAATAAACCTCTTGCTGATTGCATCCGCACAAGTGGTCTCGTTGTTCCTTGGGGAAGGGTCTCTTCTGATTGAAGGACACCCCAAGTCTTCGGGGGTCTTTCATGTGGGGGCTCGTCCGGGATAGAGACCCCCACCCAGGGACCACCGACCCATTTTCGGGAGGTAAGCTGGCCAGCATCTGTGTGTCGTCTGTGTGCTGTCTGTACGCTGTCTGAAGTCTTGTGTGGCCAAGTGTTGTGCGCTTGCGAATCTGGTGAGTTCGGCCGTTCTCGTCTGTATCAGGCGGACCCGTGGAGGAGCTGACGAGCTCGTACTCCCGACCGCGGTCCCCAGGAGACGTCTTGGGGGCTTCTGGGAGCCTGAAAAAGTGGCTCATCGGAGGGCCTGAAAAAGTGGCCCATCTGGAACCCGGTCCTTTTGGACGCGTGGTTCATCAGGGGAGACGAGAGATCCGGACTCTCAATAAAGTCTCCATCAGGTTTTGCTTTCAGTTTGTTAGCAAAAACGCGCAGCGAAGCTAAATGTTCTAAGTGTTGTCAGTATTGTTTTTGTGTTTGTTAAAATTTAAGCATGGGACAGACTGTCACAACCCCCCCTTAGCCTTACTTTACAGCACTGGAAGGACAGCCTGAGCCTAGATTGTCAGGTTTTAGGAACTTGCTTGTTTGTCAATTATGAAATTGCCACTGACCACCTGTGAGTGGCCCCAGTTAGATTTCAGCCTTGGGCCTTGGCTCAGGGGGTCTGAGCGTGGGGGAGAACCTGCCAGTCTGAGGGGACGGCCGCTAGGGATTTTTCTTTTCCCTTGCCCCAGATGACTGGGAATTCTCCTCCGCCTTGGAAGGCCCCTGGGTCAACGTCTGCAGGAAAAAAAAAAAAAAGAAAAAAAAAAGAAAAAATCCTCCGGAGGTAAATAGGGGGTTTGAGCCCCCTGGTAAGTGAATGGTGGTGAAATGTCGCCCCATTCACTGAGACTTGATTTTGTCTTTGTGGCCACTTGGTTGTATTGTTAACTTTAGTATGTGTTTGTTTTATGTTTTCTGGGGTAGGAAAGTTCTGGGTGAGTGTGACAGGCTCAATCAGCAGCCTCTGGATTCAGCTTGCTGAGTGAGAACAGCACAGAGTTCCAGTAGGGATAAACGGGGGCTCATTAGTCCCCAACTCAGCCTTCAGTTCTTGTCTAGTTCTGTTTTAGAATTGGTACCAGTTTTAAATGTGGATCCTTGGTTTTTGTGTTTATCTGTGTTTTTGTTATTTATTTAAACATCTCTGGGGGAATAAAAGTTCCAGCTGGGCTGGGTCACAGACCTGCTACGCCCACCCTCCCTGTGAGGCATGGAAGGTTACTGGGCTAGTTTGGTTCCCTTCAAGCCTCAGGCTGCATTTTCTCCTTGTGCAGGCTGCTAGCAGGGAGGGTGTAAAAGGCTGTGTGTCTGGTTTGGACTTTTTCAACTAGTCCTGACAATGTAAAAATCTGGACAGTTTAGTTTTAGGTGACCCCCTCCCCCAGCCCTCCTCCTACAGAAGGGATTCAAAAGACTAATTAGTGAATCACCTTGCTAGATAAGCAAGCTCTGGGAAAATAAAGCCCAACAAAGGTACCTAGTTAAAAAGAAATACTGTCTTAAATTTTTGTTTAAGAACTTTAAAAGGTGTACGTACGACTGATTTTGATTTTTGCGCGCTTTAAGATCTGTGTGAGTGCTTTGTGTGTGTCTGTGAACATGTTCAAAGATAAGAATTGTCAGCATGCTGTAACAATTGGGTGAGTTTAAATTTAAAATTCAAAAGATTATGAGGTTTGGACATTACCAAAGATTTTAAAAAATCTTCACATTGTTTTAAATGGCTTTGTAAAGATTCTTTAACTTGCAAATTAGAAAATCTGGTATTTTAAAAGACTAATGTTTTAAAATGCATGACTGTTTATTCTGTAATCAAGTTATCTGGCTTAACAAAAATGCATTGGCTGTTTGGGATCTAATTCCCTTGGCTAAAATTTGGAGATAAATATTAAAAATTTAAATATAAAGGTTAGTTTAACACTGTCAAAGATGTTACCTGTTCTGTCTGTCTAAAACTGTATTTCATTCGAGAACCAAGAGAAGAGATGGAGAAAAGAAACCAACAGAAGACCTATCTTTAGGGGTAAGGGGTGAACAAGCAGAAGTGCAGTTCAGCTGGCCATGCATGGTGGGACAGGCCCTGGGAGGAGTCCGCGCAGGGTAAAAGAGGGTAAGCTGGCACAAACGCAGTTCATCTAACCCTAAAGAGTCAGATTGGGTGTGCCCATTCCATAGAAGGGGCCGAACGGCCCATCTTTGTTCTCTCTTTTCTCTGCAGTCAGACACTGAAAACATGATGGTTAAAATAAGTGATGTGATGACCTGATTAGTATTGCTAAAACTTCCCCTTGGATGTGTTAACATTAAAATTAAAAAGGCCTTAAAAAGAGGGCCAAAAGGTTATTTGTATAATGTGGCTTACTTTCAATTATGTTCTACAATTAAGATGTTTTTAAAAGTTATAGAGGTGTTAAGTCTAGCCTCGTGGTATAATGATGGTGACTGTAATTTTTGGCATTAAGGAAAAATTGTCATTTGAGTTTAAAAATCTTAATGTGTGTCTGCTTTAAAACAAGCAACCAAGAGGCAATGAGTGACACTTGGCCTCAAGATTTCAAGGGATCTTTTCAAAACGCAAATGAAAACTAAAGTATAAAATATTAAAGGTGATTAATAAAAGGCTTTTAAAAAATTAATTAAAAAATGGATTTTTGGATATAAAGTTTAAATGTAAAATTGTTCTTGACATTGGCCTCAATGTGCACAAAGAAAAAATTAAGATTATCAAAAGAATTGCTATTCTAGTTTGCTCTTATAGGTTTTTTTAAGTTTCCAGCAAGCCCAGAGCAAAGCACAGAGGATTCTTACAAGTTTGTCAGATGTAACTTTGACTCTTAATAAGTTTCAGGTAAGAGCATGCTTAAAAGCTACTTCTATGTTGACCACCTTGTTGCTTTTAATTGGAGTAAAGTGGCCTTTCATAAGACGCATTGATCTGCAAACTGGTTCGAAGCCAGCCCGGGCAGACAAAGGTCCCTGTGAGACTGTCACCTCTCTTCAGCCAGCAGAGTACTAGCCCTGGACTAAAGAGTCAGGGGACAGTACTCAAGCGCCAAGCTCAAGACTCATAGTGGCAGAGTACTAGCCCTGGACTGAAGAGTTAGGGGACAGCATTCAAGCCCTGAGTCTGGGACTCAAAGTGGCAGAGTGCTAGCCTTGAGCTGTAGAGCTGAGGGACAGTGCTCAGGCCCTGAGTTCGAGTCCAGCAACCAGCTAAAGGGAAATGCCAATGAGGCATTTATCCCAATGTGGAGAAGACACTCCTGGGACAAAAGCAATGGAGAAGCATCCAGAGGCAGTAAGCCACTGCTTGGATGGCAGAAATGTCAGATCCTAGTGTCATTTGTGCGTGGCCTTTCAAAACTGGTCAGAGCCGGGAGGTCATAGGAAGATAGTTTGGAAGCATGCCTAATGTTCATGACTACCTTGTAAGAGACAGGAACTTGCCAATCCTCTATGATAGTAAAAAGCTAATGTTATAAAATGTGGGGGATAGTTTAAATCTCAACCCCTTTATGTGCCAAAAAGCTTTAATTGATTGGCTGACACTAGTTACATGAAGTTCATCTGCTCAGGAAAAAGTTTGCAAACCTGAGTGTGTTTCTATTGATATCTGTCTAAAGGCCTGCAAAGGTAACTTAGGCATCTTAGGCATTGTTGAGATCACATTCCTAAGCCATCTAGGAAGATGCTTTTGCAAACCAGAGTGCTGAACAAGCTACACTGCTGTAACTGGAGAAAAGGTCTGTGCAGTTGTCAAATGTTAAATATTGTTCTTAATGACATCTAACCCTGATGGCCTCTTTGTAAAATAGGCTAAGGTTATAGGTTCCTGGCTAGGTAAGATCAACGCCCCTGAAGTCAGCTTGAAGAAGTTACAGAAGATGGATCTTCGCCCTTCTACCCCCATTTTAAGATCAAGGGTCCAGAGTCAGTTTTGGAAAAATGAGGCAAAATAGATAAAATAATTCTTTTAAAGGCATAAAAAATAGGGCTGACAGTTGTTGATATGCAAGGTGTGGAGACTGCATCTGTCAGAGATGGTTACAAGACTAAGCCTTCTGAGCCTTCTGTGTCTATTTACAAAAATAATCTGGTTAGTAAAAAAGTTGTGATTTTGGTAAATTGTCCTGGGCTATTGTTTAAAGATCTTAAAAACCAGCAGGATCAAAGCCTGCCAAGCCTATGCAATGTATCCTTAACCAGTCTGTGTAGGAATTTACAGCCCAGCATGAGGTGTGACAGTCCCTTGGAGCCACTGAGAGATCCTGCTGCTGCTGCTGCTGCATACCCTAATGGTTAAAGTTCAACGACTGCCTGACAGCCACCTGGAGAAACTCCTGCCTAAAGATTCCATCACCTCAGTCTGCTTCCTGGTTGACTGCTGCTAAATCTACGATCTTGTCGGACATTCTTTTGGGTGATATCCAAAAACCCTCTCTTCCCACAGTGGATATTGGGGACAAGGATATCATTGGCTTACTTGTCTTAGGCACTTCAGTGCATAGTGACTGGAAATCCACTCTATGGTCACAGCCTAGTTTGGCTCTGGTATGGTAATAACCTGAGTGTGTTATCAATGGAGGTAATACTCTTAGCCTTAAAATCTAGCAAGCGTCTACATCACAGTGGTGCCTTAAGGCTGTTCTAAGATAAAGGTTCCGCAAGCAAAAGGAAAATTGTGCAGTTTTAAACTACAGCTACAAAGATGCTCAGGGATCGTAAAGAAAGAGGGTGGTAAAGAAAGCCTTGGAAAAGGGATTATAAAGAAGGTAGTAAAGAAAGCCTTGGGAAAGGAATTGGGGAAAAAATTGATATCCACTTTGGATAAGAAAGGATTTAAAAAGTAAGAATTGTCTTTAAAGAAGACAAACCTCAGAAAGTTTAAGTATGTAGCAAATGGTATGAGTATGTCTTAAAATTGGAGCTTACAAGTACAGCTGGTACAAAGGATCATGGAACAAGTCCCCATGGTTCGCTACCCTTTTATCCTCCCTAATGGGACCACTAATACTATTAATGCTAATTCTTACCTTAGGTCCCTGCATTATAAATCGCCTGATACAATTTGTAAAAGACCGACTATCGGTCATACAGGCCCTAGTACTAACCCAACAATATCATCAGCTTAAATTAACGGAGGAAACGTCGGGTGAATGAAGGATTTCATTCAGGCAAAAGGAAATGGGGGAATGAAAGACCCCAGCCCGTGCTTGCCCACTAGGTACCCCAAGAAAGTTGCTGCCCCTTA